TATATATATATATATATATATATAAGAAGAAGAAACGGCGAAATGTATCCAGCAAGTTTTATTCTCAGTGAAATACCTGTAACCCGATCCAAGAAGAGAACGTCGGTCAAATCGGTTGGTTTTTCCTGAGACGATCGAACATCATCAGAACGTACATTGTCCAAGCCTTTGATTACACCTAAATGAGGCTTCAAAGTGGTGAATGGATACGGTGCGACCTTCGGTCGAGCTCTCGTAATACGCCGCAACAGGGTAGATTTACCCGCATTCGGCGCTCCCACAAGACCGAGCTGAGCTAATTGGGTCACACGTAACAACAGTCGACGGGTCTCGCCTTCAGCGCCACGCTCAGCTATCCGTAAAGGAGGATNGATTTCGACCAGTAGAAGACAGAGAACTTCCGGTGACATGAGCTGCGTTGGTCAAAAACGTATTACCTTTACCCCCGGAACCTCCATGTGCGGCTACAAATAGCGCAGCCTCCTGAGTGAGAAAACCAATTTCTCGCGGAAGCGAAGGATCACTGCCTTTATTAGCGGGAGGGAAACCGTCGGAATGTGAGGGCGAATCCGGCAGAAGAAGTATCTGTGTACCCAAGGGCACCTGATAGATATAAATGGGTGTTACAACGAAATCATAAAACAGTTGAATGAAACTTACTCATCCCCCTCCCAAAAAAAACAAATAGTGCATCAGCTGATTCAATAAACAATTAAAAATTGTTAATTACCACAGTACGGAATACACAAACAAATGAAAATCTATGGAAGACACCGATCCACTTCGAATTATATCATTCTAATGCACTCCTAAAGTACTACGAAGATGTTATATTCAGCAAAATACCAAATAGGTACAGTTATCAAAGAGAATAAGATGCAAGCTCAGTTGCGAGATGTTCATTAAAACGCGTCTTTCATAAATAAGAGTTGCAACTAAACACCTCTCAGTGTAAACTGCGTGCGAAGCAAGTCACAATGAAATAATTTTTACAAAAAGTTCCATTATTTGCCGGTGTGCGCGATACTTCCAGGTTGTCTAGATCAAGGTAGGCGAATTTTACTGGATGATTCACCATCTCAAACAAAGTCTGACCCGCGAGGCAGCGGGATGGAGTGTGTAAACTGATATCCATTGGGGCTGGGTGTGTATTTCATCGAATCAAACGCCCTTAGGACGGGGTCAAATGTCCAAGTGCCCAATAAACGTTGATAACCAGTCAGGTCGGTGACCACAGCAATAAACAAAAAGGCGTATAGTGGGGAATTAACGATCTCCCAAGGAGTGAAACCCACACCGAACATCATCAACAGTGCCTGGTGCCTGTGAAAAACCGAATGGGCTACTTCAAACAAACATCTAAAAAGGCGTATAGTTTGTATAGCTCAACTGGGTGGCTTTGGAATCAGGGGCCTTGCCAACCCCCTGAGGTGAACTGCCAGTGGTTCACCCAACCGACTATAGCTCAGGATATTGATCTTTTATCCACTCACTGTGGTGGGAAACCACTTTCGTCATGGGGAATTAGTGAGTAGGGTCTGATATAATGTGATGATCATTCATACAAAACCGGAGGTGAAATCATAATAAATAATATCACCTCTATCCATCTCCCATTATGGCACGTTTGTCGCACTGCATTGGGGTTATTTATACTACTAATTAGTAACACAAATATAAATGCAGACGTACGCGCGTCGCTCGCCATTTATTTTGATATGAACAACGGCCGGCAGAATGATTAACATCGATCTTTTTCCATTCGAATCAACCACACAAGCGTAGGCGGCGTCCGTGTGCGGGGTCGAACCCCACAGAGGCTACTGAAATTTTCACAACTTTCACAAAACTTTAATCTGCCAAACAGCAATTTCGAGAATGATAGATGCAATCTGGATAGATTGTCTTGTCAGGAAAACCCGTAACCTAAACCTAAGAAATTAGGAGGGTGAAATATAAGAGACCAGTAGTATGCACGGGACCGCGGGACAGGAAACAGTGGTGCATTCTGTCATCAATAGAAAAGGAACAGGCTTTCGAATGTGAAAATGATCAGTATATATATATATATATATATATATATATATATATATATATATATATATATTGTATGTGCACCATCGAACAAAATTTCCCTGGAAGCACACGACCGGTTTCGC